GAGGGGAGGGGAGGGGAGGGAGGGAAACTGATGGATGCACACATCTACAAATACACTACATGTCCACAAAAAAAAACATAAACACCAGTGGTGTTCCTTCAGCCTGATGTGTGCGAGCAAAGGCTCCGACCTGAACAATTCGTTGATCCTCAATGTCAAACAATTACTACACGCTGATTAGCTGTCATTTAGTCATTAAGTGGTTGCCTGCGTGTGGTGCACCACACAAGGGTTTTCCACCCCAAAATCAGCACGACGTACAGTCTACTATGTTGCCCGCCCCGCTGAGCCCTAAACCCTCTGCACACGTACTGTGCCGATAGGGTGCCCGAAGAGCATCAGGACAGCACAGGTAGCCTGCCAGAAAGCCCTTCTGAGGCTGTTCCAGGGGCCTTCCTCATAAGACAAGGGCTCCTTTCAAAAAGAATCTTGATAGATTAGGACCCTGAAACATCCACATGTCTAGGCCTCCTCAGTATGATGTCCTTAGGTTCCCTGAAAGGTGGGGTATTGCATAAGCAACATGAAACTACCCAATTCAGCCCAACCCTGACCTCTGAGCCCGTTTACAAAAGCCTGAACCCTAAATCCCTCAAAACCAACCCAACCCTGAACATGAATCCTCGTTAAAAAAGAACAGACTTCTCAGCCCCCTTAACCAAAGAAAAGCCTGAACCCGAAACCCCTGGAGACAAAAAAGAGGTGCCTTTTTGTTGAAACCCTAAACCCTGAACCCTAAACGGAGCCTGGCAGGCGCTGCGAAAGGCCGTGAGCGTCGCCGAGGCGCTGCGCCCGGCGCAGCCGTGGAAGATCCGCGCCACGCAGCCTCGGTGCTCTCTTTCCGAGGCCGCTTTGGAGGGTTTTGTGTGAAATATTTTTGGTGTGTTTAGTTTTGGGTTTGTTCATGGGTGTAATTGGTAAGGGTTTAGGTTTAGGGTGCAGGTCGTGGAGTTTAGTATTGGATTTAGGCTTTGGTGTGTTAGGGGCCAGGGTGTAGGGTTTATAGGGTCAGGATATTGCCTTTCTTTCAAAGTAGGCTCAGCTTGCAAGCTTTCGGGCTTTTGGGATTCCTGGCCTTTCTCTTACGGGCTCTTCGTTGGCTTCAGGGTTGAGGGCCCAGGGCTTTCCATGGACACCCTGTCTTGTTGGGGTTACGTAGTTGTAGCTTATCGCTAGCTGTTGTTGTTAGGAAAACCACTGAACTGCCCAAAGAATCCCTAAATCCTAAACCCTAAACCCTAAACCCTGAACGACACACTAGAGGGGCCACGCAGAGTTGGTGCTGACAAGCTCGGATTCAGCCGGCTGAGGCTCGTTCTCCCCCCTCGGCGTGAAACATATGGAAGTCAGGACACATCTTCCTGCTCTTCGTGTTCGTGCGTTTGCTTTGCAAGCACACCACCCAAAACTCATAGACTCAACAGGCACTTGCCGAGTTCGAAGCACCACGTGATAGTAGGAATAGGAAACATAAGAGCTACTATCCGCTCTGCATTCTGTCAGGGCAAATTTCTTCCTGGTCACTCCCTCAGGCGACTCCACAGACAGGTTGACAGATGAAGCAAGGTGCGAAGTACTGGCATCCTGGATTTGCGGTTGAGCGTTCAAGGCTTCGGGAATGCAAGCGGTGCTACAGCTTGACCGCCGGGTCATGTAGTAAAAGACTATCCGCAAATAAAAAATGTTAAAGGCCACTCACCCTGCTACTTAGCGTCGCCGTATGCAATCATTGTTGCTGCTCCACACGGCAATGCTATACCCTGGGAAAGTGGTCTTGTACCAATTGAGGAACTTCGGCCAGAAGACCTGGGCTACGGTTTTTCCCTTAGGGTTTAGGGTTTAGAGTTCAAGGAGCACATTTTAGGCTGGGGTTCCTTCTTCCAGCATCTGCAACAAACATTCTACGGGTTCTTGATTCTGGCAAACTCAAGTCCTTCACCAAAGCAAGAGTTCGGGACGGTGAATTAGACAAAAGCCCTTTGAACAGAATACAGGTTCCTTTCTCTGCCATCAAACTGAAACCCTGAAAACACACAGAGGCTCCTTATGCTGCTGACGAAAAACTGTAAGCCTCAGAGTCCTTCATAAAACGACGGCCAAGACGCCGGATGAGGAGATCCATCCCCATAGACAATGCGGCGAAGGACGTAGCTACCCAGCCTGTCCCACTCATCCTCGTTGATTTTCCTGTGCTATTTTTGAAGGCCCGTTGAACAGTCTACGCTTGATGCCTGCTTAAGAGCACACAACAACTGAAGTTGAAAGCCTATGTTCGAGAACCGCCGAGTTTCTCCATTGGGAAGGTGGAGCCTTCGCCCCAAGCCTCCTCAGCTATAACACCGATGTTGGCAAAGGTTTTGTTCTCGAAGAAGAACTGCTGGGCTTCCTCTGCAAAGGATGTGAAGGCATAATGCATCATGATGAAGCGCCCAGGGAGACTATCAGCCCAACTCCAGCGGCCTGCCATGTTAGAAGGGTTGGACACAGTCGTTGGATACGGCGCCATGCCCTGTGCCCAGGCAAAGGAGACAAGCTGCTCCGACAACAACGGGTTGCCATCCATCCACCATATTCCTGTAAGATTCAGATGCAGCGCAGGATCCAGGAACATGTTGCCCAATGTCCCACTCTCGAAGGGTGGGATGAGACCGGCTGCAAGAGCATTTTCTGGGAGAATGTGCTCAACCGGCGTGACGCGAACGCCACATTCCGTCGTCATGAAGAAGAACACGACCCAAAGAATGAAGCCAAGAAGCGAGCAGAAGCAGCAACAGCAGAGCTGGCAACAGCACCTACAACAATTGCCTTTGTTCTTGTCGACGAAAACCACATCATGTCGTCCCAGGAGGGCCTCCTCCTCCGTGTGCATGGCCTTGATGCTCGAGCCGACGGCTTCGGGCCGGTCCGGTCTGGACGGATAACGCTCTGAGATACGGGGCCAAGGGAGGCCTCAGGGCAGAAATTATATGCAACAGGAGATACCCATTTAAAGCCATCGATCATCAAAGATGCAGAGTACAGCTATCTAGCTAGCTGAATGGCCAGCTAGCCAGTCAGAGAGATATATAGACAGATATACAGATGGTTAATTACATAGATAGATAGATAGATAGATAGATAGATAAATAGATAGATAGATAGATAGACAGACAGACAGACAGATAGATAGATACAAAGAAATAGAAGTAGATAACAAAATAGATAGATAGATAGATAGAGTACCTAGTTAGTTCGTTAGTTAGATAGATAGCTATATAGATAGATGAACAGATAGATAGATAGATAGATAGATAAATACATAAACAGATAGATAAATAAACAGAGAGACAGACAGACAGACAGACAGACAGACAGACAGACAGGCAGGCAGGCAGGCAGGCAGGCAGGCAGGCAGGCAGGCAGGCAGCCAGCCAGGCAGGCAAGCAGGTAGCTAGCTGGCTAGCTATCTGGCTAGATAGAGAGAGAGAGAGATAGATAGATAGATAGATAGATAGATAGATAAATAGATAGATAGACAGACAGACAGATAGATAGATAGAAAGAAATAGAAGTAGATAACAAAATAGATAGATAGATAGATAGAGTACCTAGTTAGTTCGTTAGTTAGATAGATAGCTATATAGATAGATGAACAGATAGATAGATAGATAGATAGATAGATGGATAGATAGATAGAGAGATAAAGAGATAAAGAGAAAAAATAAACGAGATAGACAGATAGATAGGTAGATAGAAAGCACAAAAAAAACAAACAGCAAGATTCACACATACACAACCACATCAGGCAAGGAACCCACGAAGGTCGGGTTGAGATAGCTGCTGTTCACCGAGTGGAAATGACCTGACAGCATGACCCCTCCTCTTGCCCCCACGGATACCTGCTGCGGACTTTCAAAGCAAAGATGTGGATCCAAGGGGCTTGGCGGACCAAGATCCAGGCAGTTCAGGGTCGGTGTGGAGGGGCCCGGCAGCGCCTGCAGTCTTGTCCTATGCTGCCCGTCGATCCTCACTGCCGTCAACATGACGAACGAGAATGGCCACGCACCAGCAGCATCATCGTCATCATCGTCGTTGTCATCCACATGACCGACCACTAGTTGGCATCGTCGTCATTACCACCCTCGTCCTCGCACAAGTAAAGATCGGCATCACATGACTATACTTGTAGATGGCATCAAAGACCATACCGTCATCACCGCGACCAGCAACACCGGTCAGAATAACTTTGTTCTTATTGTAAATTGTAATTGTTCTTGCCAGCTGTCTCCTTAATTTTGGCGCAACAACCGTCACCAGCATCATCGCACATCGCCATCTCCACATCGCAATTGAAACTGCCCTTCTCATTGCCATTCGTCTCGTGATTTAGGAGCCGCAGCATGAGCACACGACAGTGCCAGCAGAGAACTCGGACTCCAACTCTTGAAGCCAAGGCGCCTCACAGCCCCGACCCTGTGCAAGCACCAGCAGGTGACGCGAGAGCGCGACGGTATTTCCCCCGGCCTGAGGACCTTGCGTGCCACATCTTCTGCTAGATCAATGTGAAGGTAGAGGGAGGTGAAAAAAGCCGAGACCCTAAACCCACAAAGGACCGATAAGAAAGTCCTGAAGCCTTAAAGCCTCGGAGGCGCCCAAGGTCGGCGGTCGGAGGGCAAAGTTGCCTCCACCTCAGCATAAGTCTTTCTTTTTTCCATTGAAATAAACAACATACTAAAGTGCACTGTATTAGAATCTATCTCCTTTCCCTCTCTTCTTCTTCTCTCCCTCTCCCTCAGTCTCTCTCTCGACCTGCCTCTCTCTCGCGCTCTCTATCCCGCGTTCATGTATTACTGCTGCAATTTGTGTACGACCTGGCCCCTTTGGATGGCTACAGTTCGATCAAGGTGTCGTGGACAGCTTCGGACGATGGCGAAGGCAGCTTTGTGGCCTTTGTTCTCTGCTAGGCTCGCGCATCGCAAACTGCGGCGAGCACCGAATGTTTCCACTGCGGCTACAAAGATCAGCCCACAGTCGGATGCTAGTGGCGGACCACGAAACCTCGCGCAGAACTGAACCTACGCAGTGCGAAGCAAACCTGATGTCTTGCACTGAGCTCTTGTCTCACCTACCGGTTTAAACTTTCACATGATGATCTTTCTCTCGTCCCTTCCCGAAACCCAGATCCCCAAAGATCCAAAGCCTCACATGGTGGCTCATCCGAGCTACTGATGATGGCTTCGCAGCCCTGCGCAGCAAGGGCCGAAAGCTCCCAGTGGTCAGCTAGCTGCAGAAAAGCCCGAGGATCACCACTCTCGTGGCTGGTGTAGGCGTGACTCCTGAAAGAAGGTGCTGGGTACTCTCATGTTAGTCGTATGTAATTACTGTTACTGTTCTGTAGCCTTATGTATTCCCATACAGTATTAAGTGTAGGTCCAACCCTGTGCTGGCATCCGTAAGCTTGCAGCTTCATCAAAAGTTCTCGCATGATTTGTGTTGTGTTCCTTTGTACGAATAGGTCCGCTTGTGCTGTGCAATCATGCAGGCTCTTTGAGTCTTTCACTCTCCTCGCCCTTTCTGTGCTATGCGATGCTGCGGGCCACCAATTGTGTCATAGATGATTTCTCTGACGTGGTCCTACCTGTTGCCAGCGCATTGCCTCTCACGTAGCTATATAAGAACATATGCAGGTGCGTGCCTGCGCTGAATTAGTCTTGCAGATTTGTGTTCGTTTGTGAGGACATACCGTCATATCCATATCGAACGATACCTGCCTCTGTAGACACGCAGATATACATATTTCCTACACATTGTTTTCCGCACAAACATGCCTTGCATGACACGATGCTTTCGTACACAAGTTGCTACATCTACCCATCAGTACATGTTCATCTCTATAGATATGAAGAGCTGTATTCATTTTCATGCCTTATGCTCTATTACATGTCATTATGAAACTTTATAGGCTTCCTAGGCTTTCGCCACGGGCCGGGGCCTACGATTTCTGACTTTTTGCGCTTGCCTCGTTGACACAACCACTGAGAGCTTGCAAAATTCCTGCTCTTCACCCTCAACCTCACCCTAAACGAGACATCTCTCAGCCAGGAATCACGCCCGCTACTTCGCGCTGCCAGTGATGTACCAAGTCTTGCATTAGCGATGGCTGAGATGTGGCCTGCCACTGCGCAGAACACTTCAAACATCCGTCTTTCAAGGGTCTCGACTCTCACACTCGCGGGGTTTTGGGGTTTCGACTCTCACACTCGCACAAGGCCGGCAAGGCTCCGCATAGTTCTGTCTCCGCTGCAAAGAGAGCGAGAGAGGGACGACTGCATGCAGTAACGAAAAAAGACTGCAGCTTAGCAAGAAAAGAACTAGGACATCAACAAGCATAATATCAGAGTAGTAGTCCATCTCTCCCATCTGCTACGTACAGGCGATTGAGTCACTGCTCATTTTTCAAAAGGTTCGACTTACACCACAGATCCAAGGAGAAATCCGGAATTCTATGGATTGCTGGGAGTTGGGTGTGGAGAAACCGCTACCCTCGCAAGCCTCAGCACATCTCGTACTCCTGCCTCTGCTTGTTCAGAGGGCTGTAGGCTTCTCACATGCAGTAGTCCTCATGTTATCATGCAATAGCCATCCTCGTGTCTTTCAGTGAGCTGAGTTCCACCATGACTAAAAGCTCGCATAGCCATCGAGACCCATGGCGAAAGAAGCAGTAATAAATTCGTCCAGAATTGTGGCATGCAGTCATGCTTTTGGAGATTATATATATATATATATCCGGGATTCAGGCTTGCACCAAATTTCGTCAGGCGTGCACCAACTTCCATAAATTCTCGCCAGAATTCTGACTTGCGCCAATTCCATACGTTCTCACCAGATTTCTGACTTGCATCCCATTCCGTAGATTCCCATGTTGCCGCATTGTTTTGGGGTTTAGGGGTTTAGGTTCCAGGTTTCCTTTTGGCTTTAGGGATAAGGGATGACTTAATGGTCCCCACAAAAACAGCATGGGGCGATCGCCTTTGAGTTCTTTCATCGAGCTTTGAAGCCTAGAGACATCCAGCGATCTTCGGGCCTGACATCGGATGGAGTTCCCGAGCTCGGAGCTGTTCCTTGAAAGGCCGCTACGACTGTAGGCAACCCAGCAGCAATGTGGGCATCTTGGAAAGCATCCTAGCAGTCTTAGCAAGACCTTTCGAAGAAGCGACATGACAGTCAACACGCAGAATGACAGCAACGGACGCGGTGAGGAAGACGTTCAACGGTCTCACCCGCACCGTCATCATCCGCATAGGACTGTCATGATCCTCAATCATCACTATTGTCGATGAATGTCGCTATGACGCATTCATAACGGCTGTGCTGGCTGTCCCGGCAGTAAGCTCTCGTGGTTTCGGAAAGACCCCATCTTTCACACAAACTTGATGAGGCCCTGCCAAGGACGGAAAGGCTTGGTTGGTGCGGCAGGCGAAACAGCTGTGCAATCCGAAAATGATAGACAAGCCGAAGACCTCAACCCTTCGAAACCTCAGCACGCCACCAAATGCAATTTCGGGTCAGCCAGCGAAGGCAGGAGGCCAGAGAGATCATCTCGAGAACCTCAATGCAATAGCTCCTCACCTGCAAGCAGCAGCGTTCGGCGCACAACTTTGATTCTGTAGCGTCATGCTGCGCATTAACATGTTGTACGTAGGGGGGGTGTGGTAGGGTTGCAGGCACTGATGTATCCGATTCTCAAGTCTCCGTCTGTGTGCCGACTTACAGCATGAAGGCATGAAGACGTACACGCCGAGACAGACGAGCAAAAGGAGGGGCAAAACCTTGCGTACCTGAATGCAAGCATACAACACCCACCAAACTCATCATGCACATTCACACCCCTGCACACATAAAGACGCATGCATATATCTTACCCCTGCGTGCTTGCATTCACCTCTGCACGAATATATCTGCGCACAGGTGTGCGCGCATGCAGACAGCAGATGCACTCAAGATGCACCATGTATATGCATCCGTCGCATCCTTTCAACAAATGGAGAAAGGTTTGCCCAAAACAAGAGAATGTACAATATTGTATGTGAAGCAGAGCCATAAGAACCACACTACTAGACAGTGAGAGCAAAAAATGTCTGATCTCTGGAATCAGGAAATGCACCAAGCTCTGGTTGTCGAAGTCCAGGCTGAAGCTTGCAGAGTCCATCAAAGCGATCCTGGCGCACACGTTGCTTGACCCGAGGGCGGTACTAGTAGCAGCAGCCGTCGTCGTCGTAAGAGTAGAGCAGCAGGAGAAATAGTAGCGGTCAGGGGTAGGGGTCAGTAGGGTAGCAGTAGTAGGGGTAGGAGTAGCCCCAGCAGCAGCAGCAGTAGTAGTTGTAATAGTGGGGGAATGTCATAGTGGGGGAATAGTAGTATTCGAAGCAATCGTAGTGGTACTGGTCAGAATCGGAGTGGGGGTTTATTGCTACTGTTGTGGTTGTGGTCTCGCAGCAGTAGCAGCAGCAGACGATCGATGGCCATCACAAAAGCAAAATGCATAAATGTCGGAACCATGCAACCCTCGATTGACCAGGTTAGATACCGTACCAGCTATCGCTGGAGAGTGCAAAAAGGAAAGAAGGGGCCCATCAGAACAGGGTAAGAGCTTCACGATGGTGACAACAAAAATTCAACAGGAGAAACAGTGCACCGGGCCTTCCTGGTGCCGGCTGTTGAAGCCGGTCCAGTTGAGTGTGCCGCAATCTCTTTTGGCAGCTGGTTGCATTGAAACAAGTTCTGCTTTGTGCTCTGGGCCGGATGTATCCGGATAGTGTTGGCAAGGCATGCGAAGCGATATTCTCTGTGGCTTCCATGTCCAGGCAGGTTCACTTCGCACCGATGTTGAAAGCCAGATCTTGCTTTACTACAAGTAGCAGCCAACTGGTAGTTAGCAAGAGATGCGCATGGCAATTGCAGCAGGTTCTACCAGCACCTCCGACCAGAAACAGCGGCGACAAGCCAAAACACAAGAGACATATAAGTAGTACAGCAACGGGCCAAAATGAGAAGCCGTAGACAAGACAAGACGGCAGAGCAGAGCTAGCATCAGTATGACCATCATTACCTTGGAAAACCAACATAGAAGGTTGGGTTACTAACCTGATCACCTGCACCCCTGCCAGGATACTCTCCTTCTGTTACCGCGGCTGCAGAAATGGATCGATGCGCGAGTGCGGTCCGGAGCACCAGCACCAGCGCCGCGAACGACGACAACGACGGCCCAACAACGTCGACAGCTTGAATTAGCGCATGAAGGCAAGAATGGCAACATGAACATGAACTCTACTATCAGTACACATGAACAGCAGACATGGAGTTCTTGGAAATCTGGCTCAATCAGGAAGCCGAAGCCTCAGTTACAGCCAAGTCACCACATGTCCTCAGCTAGCAACAGCTTTGCCAAATCTCGAAAGACTATGGCTTTGCAGCGCACGGCCCTATGACCCCCAACTCGGCTAGGGACGGAATGAAATCTAAGTAACAGGCCGAGGCTCGCGCATGAAGACAGTCATGTTCGCATCCATCGTCCGCTGCTTCATGTCGCCTTCATGGTCATCATCGGGCGGCGGCCGCCGCGGGCGCGGACCCTGCACACTCTCCGTCACACGACTTGGTCCTGGGCAAAGTCCCCAGCCATGTTGCCTGGCGGGGGCGCGGCGGCACCCAGCAGTACTCCGCGACGCGCTTTGCGCTGGCCAACGGCGCGTGCCTTCGAATGCGGCTTTCGGATGCTGCTTAGCCCTGAAGCCTCAGCCCTTGCAGGATGCATGGGATTCTGATAAAATGGAAATGCCATCTTCTCATACTACAGTATAATAGCATCTTATACGATCATGTGATACATCATGCCATGGTATATTGTCTTGCATGTTGTACTGTATGTATTCTATTTGTATTGTACTCAATTGTACTATGTGTGGGCTCCGGACTTCGGGAGGTCCGTGAGAAGACGAATGGTCAATGCTCAACTCCTGCCCTGACGAAGCTTCCATCCTCTCAAGCCTGGGTTCTTGTTAGGGTTTGGGGTTCAGTTCAAGTTAAGCCTCCAAAACGAGGAAACCATGGCAAGCATGTACTACAGATCCCCTCTTATGGCAACTTGAAGTGAGAATATCCTTGACAAGAACTCGGAATCCGTCCACAAATTACCCGAGATGGCTTGGCTTCCCAAGGCCCGGAATACAAGAAATGGGATCTTCAGGCTTAAAACGGTGAGGGTCGGATGGAACCAAGCAATCCTGAGATACAGATTCCCCAAGGCCCCAGCACTAGTACCCCCTTCAAACCCCACCCCACAAGCCGAACATGTTCGCGAAAAAACTGAAGAAACATAGTTGGTGATTCATGCGAGTGCGGCGGTCAGAATCACGGACAGGGAATCGTTTGCTTGTATGAGCAAACTCGGTAACTGGCTGACCTGCCACCCTGCGTTGTGGCACATTCCCAAAACCCGAAAGCCAGTTGGTGCAAACTACACTAGACCCAACCACCAGACAAAACCCCAGTGGTAAACAAAAAACCAAGTAGTATCCAATCCTAAAAGATCCTCCAAGCACGGCAAAGCTGTGCCGAGCTCGAACCAGTCCATACCAGCCCGCCCACCCGCAAATCAACACGGAAGCACAAAAAAACACCCTAAACCCACAAAGCACTAGAAAACCCCTGAGAACTCGGTGGACTCCTAGCAAAGCGCGCCTCTCGCCGAGGAGCTCCTGCGTTCTTGCCCAGCTTCTATCCAACATCTCCTGGGTTTTTGGTTGGGGGAACTTGGTTTAAGTTACCAGATGAGGGGTAGCTGAAGTAGGAAAGCAATGGACACTATGCTGGGTAGCTTCAGCCAAGTTAGGTTCTTCAAGAAGAGCTCTCTCAAGCCCCTAAAAACTCCTACAGACCGCAGAAGGCGCAAAATTCCAATTAAGGCCCAGTCTCCCAGTCGATCGCATGCTCTGGGGAGCCTCTGCCGTCTTCGAAGCTTAAAGCATGGGGGTTCGATAAAGGGCTAGGGCTTAGGGTTTAGGGTTTAGGGGATACTGGTGCGACGGTAAAGCAACAACTAAGTTGGTGGAGATGCTGTGTTTGGCGTGGATAACGAAACCATTTTGCCTGGGCCGCAGTGTGCAAGGTCCACCAGTGTGATGGCTGCGTGTGCGGAGCAGAGGAATGCACCGAGCGCCGCGAGTGTCCAGACGATCCAAGCCTCTAAGCCGCTTTCGGGTTTGGAACTTTCGGCTTTAGAGTGCAGGGTACACCAGGGATGAGGCTTTAGAGTGACTCGTACTTAGGGCCTGACACGTCCGTAACAGGCCGCGTGCTTTCCTGCAGGTTTTGCGGTTTGGAAGCTTTCTCTGTGGATTCTCGGCGCTGCCAGGATACTTTACTTGGGGAAAGGGGGGGGGAGTGGGGGTGGGGGGAAGGCTGATTTCGTTCTGGCGCCGCCAAATTTGTTTGCAAAATGGGCTTTGAAGCCACGCCTGCCAGCAAAAGTCAAGACAGTGCTCGGGCTTGGGGAAGCCAGGATTATGAGGAAGGAAAACATTGGGCTTTGAAGTCATGCTGCCAGCAAAAGTAAAGACAGCGCAGACATGCCTTTGAGAATCACATTCAGGAGCTGTTTGGATAAAACGTGCGACGCCCTAAGCTTCAAGGCTACATGGTGCCTGAAAGTCATTTTCCACGATTGGGGCCAGTCAACACTAGCTGCAGCATGCGCATCGCTGCCATGTGCTCCAAGTCAGCTCTCCAAACTCTCTCACGTGTCTTGCCACGATAGGCCATCACAGTCCACAAGACCGCTATAGACCCTAGGGGCCTCTGTGCACTCTGCATCCCGTTCTTGAAAGCGGACTTTAAGAATGGAAAGGCCCAAACAAGAAAGCCCCCTTCTCTCCTATCTTCCCTTATTCCTACCGCCCCCAGAGCAGGGGGAAGAAGCTGATGGGCCTGGAGCTTGTTCATGTACCTGGAGTTTGCAACGGCAACAACCTGAGGCGGGCTTGGAGTTTTAGGGTGTGGGTCTAGGGTTGGGCTTAGGGCTTGGAGCTGGGGTTTGTGAGTTTCTGGCTTCTTGTTACTTGGGGGGGTGGAGTCTTAGCAGGATTCGGTTGGGTCGCTGTAAGGGCCGTGGGCATCAAAGCGGAGCAGTGCAAAGGGCACGCCAAACCAACGATAGCCCGCTGCATTTCCGCCTCTCGGTGAGTTTCAGAATTCAAAAGATCTTAATACCGGAGCTGCATGATATGATCCCAAATAATGATCACCATCGGGTGTCTTGTGGTGATCCTTAAAACCCTATAAATCCAAATCCCAAAAGCCTATAAATCCAAATCCCCTAAACCCTATAAAACCCTCGGGTGTGGCTTGAGTTGTCACCTGGAGCTTCAATACGGCAACCCTGCTTCTGCAAGGTGACCTCGCCGTCTTGATCCGATCCCTCATGTTGCCTTTCCTATAATATAATGTAATATAATATAAGATGATGTCATATGATATAATATGATATAATATGATATAATATAAAATAACATAATTGTATATTATGTCTTCGAACTTGGAAGCCGATTACGTCTGCCAGCTTCTGAGCATCAGTACATCCACGACGAACATGAAAGGTTGTGTTTATTCATGCCAGTCCTTAAGGGGGCTCACAACCTGAGCGGCTACCTGAGATCTACGAGGTGGGCGAGGGGACAACTCCTTCTTGTCGGGCCTCTCAGCCTGAAGTGTTCAGGATGAAAGCTGTTTCACAAGAACCCAGAACCCGGGGACCGAATTTTTGGGAGCCTTATACTAAGGATCCTACTACTTAGGGTACTATCCGCAAGTCCCAAGTACCAGTGTCAGAGCTTCGTGGCTGCAAAGACCGAGCAGCTAGAACCACCCAGAGGGTTCTCACGCTGGGGAACTCCAACTGCAGCGTCTCGCTCTCCACTGGGCTCAACACCACCTTCGAGCCGGGTGTTGGAGTAGCATGAGGGTTTAGGATGACTGTGGGAGTTAAAGTTACTCTAGAAGGTTACTTGAAGCTTGTTATAAGGGCGACTATAAGGGTTACTGTCAGCTTGACTACAGGGCTATTCTAAGGGATGCTGCCAAACGAAATATCACCACCACCATCATTGCCACCATCAGACCACGTCGGCCAAGTCTTTGAACAATGCTGCTGACAAGTCGATAACTGTCAGTTGACGATGCATCCCATGCACGAAGACACACGCACCAGCCTGCGCGTAATATAGGGCTCTGAATGAATAATCGAGATAGAGCATACGTATCTGCTTGTGATCCAACTCTTGTATAACGTGCTAACTCCGTACAAAAAGACCCCACTCTGATTGATACTTCGGGGCCCCAGGAGAAACTCTCAAAACAAATCGCTCGGATGCACTGTTTCCAAGACGTCCAGCTCTGCCGGATAAACCAAGGGGTGAAACAGGTCGGTGACACAGAGCTCTCGAAGGGCATTTCCGGGGTCTCCCGTACTGGTACCTAGGAACCAGTATGAAGAAAATCCTACTCTTTAGGAGTTCTATATAGAGGTGACCCCAATTTTCTGAAACTCTCACATCAAGAGCCCTAACAACAACAAAAAACTCCCCTGTCCTCAGCATCTCCTAACTGGTGCCGAGTGGACTGTCACGGTGTCGGTGGCCTGATGTACTTCTTCCGGTCATACCTGCCCAGGTACTGTCTGCCTCCATAGCTCCTGGTGTAGGTAGAGACATGGCCGGCCGCAGCTTCGTCGAAGTGCTTCATGCTCCGGCAGACTTCTGCAAGTGTCTCGATCTCCCATCGATCCAAGCACTCGTCCACCAAGTCCGCTGGCTTGTCCCGTGCTGCCTTTACCTCTGAAAGCGCACGCTCCTTGAGCACCGTCTTAATGCACAGGGGCGTCCGCAAGCGCACCAGGACCTTTTTCTGTGCCTCCGCATTCATCCGCTGAGACTCGGTGCGACTCCCTCGGGCATACAGCGTCTGCAGAATTTGCCCCGCCGTCTTCCCCTTGGGGTCGACGCCCACCTCAGCGAGCTTGTGAAGGTATCTCTTCTGAACCTGCTCCACCTCCTTCTCGCTCACAGCAGGAGGCACTTCATCCTCCGGCAGCACGGAGAACCCAAGCCGCGTGCCACTGATGGCAGTCTGCGAGGCTTGCTGGTACAACGCCTCGGCCGAGGTCGCCGAGGCCGCCGAAGCCGGCAGATGAGCTTGGGGACTTGCATGGCCAGGCGAACCTCTCGCCGTGATCTCCGCTTCCCGAACTGCTTTTGGGGTCTCAGGCTCTGCGACTGCGTGCAGTGCGTGCAGGGCACCCTGCGGTGGATTTCCGGGCAATGTGGGAGCTGGAGCTGGAGTGGGGGACCTCTGCGTCTGGCGCTCCTCTTGCGGGCCAGGCCCATCCCATGCGCTCCTTGGGGGCACCCGTGGTGTTGCTGCCCGTGGTGTCACGAGACGGTGCGTCTGAAGTGCACTTGCGGCAGGTGGCGTTGGGGTCTTCGCCGTCCTTGCTGTGCCGCAGCCAGCCGAGGGTGGCCTCATGTACGATGCCGCTCTTGGTGTAAGCCTGCCTTCAGCTCGGCTCTGTGGACGCTCTTGCGGACGCTCTCCTCGGGCACTCTGGGGTTGACTCTGAGGTGTGTAGCAGTTCGGCCGAAACCGAAGCGCGCGAGATTGCTTCACCATAGGTAGATGACCCAAGATGCGAGCAATTTCGCTCCTGTCGTCTTTGCCCCGGTAAGCGATGGACTTGGAGACCATGCCTGGTGTAGCTTTTGCCACATGATTGAGATCATCGAACAACGATTCATCTGATGGGCTGTGCAGCAGGACTGGATCGTCATCACGCAAGGGCTTCTGCAGCATCGTGGCGCGCCCGACTGACCATCGACTGCTAGTGCTGCTAGTGGTGCTTCTCTGCAACGCTAGGGGATTTCCGTTGCAGAAAACCTTCGAGCCCCAGCAAGTTTTGAGGCAGTCATCAAGCTTTGCTGCCGCAGAATAAGGCCTTGCGACTGGAAAAGGCACAATACGTTCTTGAGTTGCAACTACTTGCTGGCATGCCCTTCAACTCATAGGTTCGACATGAAACAATTCATCGCAAGCATGCGCAAGCCAGAGGACATCGCTCTGCTCGCGTCTAGCGGTCTTGTACACTGCTTACTACTTAAAGTCCGAGATGTAGTCGAATGCACGCTGCATGAGCAGATGTGTCTATCAGTTGTCTGGCAGCGCGAGAACGATGCAGCATTATGCAGCATTGAGCTGCTCCATTCTGATTAGAACCCGCTTTCTATTTGTCCGCTGCCAGTGTACCATGCCATCCTGGTGTGCTAATATGATGTTGTTTCAGCCCCCAGAGCAGGGATTCTGCAGCCTGAATCCGCGCATCCCGGAACACTTGGTCGCCAGTCTGGTTGCAGAAGCCGACATGGTGATTCCGGACGCAGCTGGAGGAGGATGGAAGCTGCGACCTTACCGTGAGCAAGAACAAAGCTTGCCTGGATTCCAAGGCTTCCATGTTTAGGGTTTAGGGTTTAGGTGGTTTAGGGTTTAGGGTTTAGGGTTGAGTTGCCTTAGATGCATTCCTCCCTCGAAAACAGCGCCGAGACACAGTATGGAATAGAAGCTCTCCTCTCCCAGCAGCAACGTCGCGTTGAGGAAACACCTTGGCGCGCGCTCCTAGACATGGCTGAAGGCGATGGAAAGGAGAGGATTTTCACTGGGATCCTTACATCCCCCAAAGACAAGCGGATGCAGCCAAAACAAATAATATTTCAGTAGCCGTCAGTGGCACATCGAAGCCGTGATGTAGGGCAATGTCTACTGTAGACATTTGCAAAAAAAGGCAGTGGAGTCATAAAGCACTAAGCTACCCAAGTTCAACAATGTAGCAACGACGTGACCCTTCCAAACGAAACGACTTGAAGGAAGACTTGGGCATAAGAGAAAAATGAAGACTGGCAACACAGCCAGATGATTACCTTACGAGTGCCGTCTTCCCAGCCGCATCTATGCCGAAATCAATCTGGGCTAAGGCTAACCATGGAACCATGCAGCAATAGAAAGCTTTTGAACGAGGTCTCTCTGAAGTGCCTCCAAGCTAGACACTAAACCCTTAGATGAATCGGTACTAAGCATGCGCAGCACGTGCACAACCAACATAAAAAGCTGCTAATGGAAGCTCCTTACTTCGGACAGGACACAGGAAGGCCAAGAACTTGGACCACACCTCTGCACGCAGGTCTCAGCTTGTCGGTGGCTCTCTCTCTGTCTCGCTCTCTCTCTGTTCTGTTCTGTTCTCCGGGGTTCGAGGAGCGTGTGAAGCTCCCCGCGCCGATTGGCGCGCCTCGGTTTGGGGCCTTGTGGGGGCTCGGAAAAAGACATGGATCTCTCTCTCTCTCTCTCTCTACCAGAACAGAGGGAAGAGACGGACGTCCCCCCTCTCACGGGCATGCGCGCACCTGCGGTCCACAGATTTTATTTTGCCCCTCCTCATTGCCAAGGAAGGCTCGGCTTTACGAGGGACGAAGAGACGGGCAAGCCCACAGTCTTCCAGCATGACAAGACAACATCAAGCATGCAATAACCCACCCTCCCCACAGACTTGTCGGTGGCTCTCTCTCTCTCTCTCTCTCTATCTATCTATCTATCTATCTATCTATCTATCTATCTATCTATCTATATATACATATATTGATTTATTTATGTATGTATATATATATATATATTGATTTATTTATTTATGTATGTATATATATATATATAATCGTGTATATACATATATATATATATATATGTATGTATGTATGTATATGTGTGTGCGTGCGTACATGTGTGTGTGCATAGATGCATATATACACACACATGTGTGTATGTATATATATATATATACATATGTACATCTGTGTCGGTGTCCATGCATGTGTATATATATATATATGCATGCATGTGTATACATGTATGTATATAAATATGTGTGTATATATATATATATGAATACATACATATATATATATATGTATGTATGTATAAAACGCGCGCACGCACACACACACACACACAGTGACTGCCTGCAGAACCATACACACACATCCTGCAAATGTGTTTGGTTGTTATACGTACATTTTTAGAAGTATATGTATTTATATGTAGAGAGAGAGAGAGTTGTTAATTTAATTATTCATTTGTATATTTACATATACGTTTATACCTATGGATAAGGGTAGAAGGAGATGGCCTGTTGCGGTCTTCGAGCCCCTGTGCAAACAAAGGCACATGCTGGTAGGTGAGATCGAACACGATGCACCGGGCACCCACCATCCAGAGCCGTGTCCAGATGGTGCCGGAAGTCTCGTGGCCTTCGAAAGTCCGTCCCCCCCGAACACCATGCAAGCTTGTGGTTCTGGGGGTATTCTGAAAGGTCTGAATGGCCTGCAGACGAAAACCCTTGAATGCGTGTGTGTGTGTGTGTGCGCGCGTGCATGCCCTGAAAGGGTGAAACCTGTCCCTTCCTTCCAGCCCTTAATTACTTCCCTAAAACCTAAAAAGTCGAAGAACCGAAGTAATTACACCAGAATGGACCCCCACCAGCCCCATTCTAATCATCGAGGTCCTACATCAAATCCTACCAGCAGGGTCTGCAAGCCCAAAGGCCAACCCCGCAGGTCTCAGCCACGGCCTTCCTCAACCCTAAACTCCCTTCAGAGTTCAAGAGCCTCACAACCCCTCCCCTTTAAGAGCCACTCCGACCCTCGCGGGCGAGGGAGCGGGCGCCCCCACTCGCCACCTCAGAGTGGGAGCGGGCACCAAAGCAGCGGCGCAGTGGTGGGAGTGGGGAGGAGGGGCTGTTGGAGAGATTTCTTCCAGGGTCCCCTTGAGGGTTCCTGAAACGATTTTTGGGTTTAGGGTTTAGGGTTTAGGGTTGATTCCCTTCAGGGTTCCAGTAAGAAACCTACAAAGCGCTCTTCTGCCTGGGCTCCCGAGGGTCCACGAAGGGCTCCTCTCAGCCTTCCTCCAGGGCTGGAAACTGAAAGCTCCTGGGCCCCCACAAACCCTAGTACTATACATGTATACAAATATATATATACATACATACATACATACATACATACATACATACATACATACATACATACATATATATAGACATTCTTCAATATACATTATGTAGTACATACTGTGATATATACTATAACATATAATGTGTATATCTACAGTGTGTATATATATACATATAAATATACATACAAATGGACGCAAAGACGAAACCAAAGCAAAACCCCCTGCATCGGGCAGGGCGCCAGGGGCGCATAGCCTTCACCCAGTGACTGGAGCTCCAGCTCCGGAGTCTCCATGAAGGCATGGCACCGAGAGGAGTCCGGAGGGTCTGGGTCGGGGGCTTCTGGGTTTAGGGTTTAGGG